CAGTAGTACCTTCATTTTGGCTTAGGCTATTAGAAAAATACAGCAAATATGAGAAACAGAGTAGCATATATACAACGTAATTTTATTTTTTTAATGAAATGAGGTTTTTTGTTAAGTTTATAGTTTAATATATTCAGTTATTAAAATGGAATAGTGAAGCTAAATTTACACCTCCAAGGCAAAATTATCCAAGTATTAGTTCAGCTAAATTACCTATTGCTAAGTATTCATTGTGCAGTAAATTGTTTGTGGACGTGCCTGTAAATTATTATGTTTGTCAGCTACTGGAACATCTCATACCATTCTTGATATAGGTTGAGCTTTATTACTTCAGCAAATGAAATTCTTGTGGGTTTTGTTTTTTTTAATATCATGTGTGTCCCAGTTAATCTACAAGAAATTACTTCATATGCTGGATATACTCCAACAATGCAGAGTGTATGAGGCACATCAACCAACCAATTCAATAATGAAGATACTCATTAGCCAACAAAATTACAAAAGATCCCATCAAAAACACATCCAAAACTATTACTTTTTAGATTATCTTTGCTCTTTCTGCCAAGACTGACAACATTTCCTCTACTTAATCACCAACTTAGCTACAGCACAATACAGAAAATTGTCAGAGATGCTGGATTAAACAGGAGGAGGAGTTATTGGGCTGCCAGCAACTGCCCCCAAAGGAAACACCAACAAAGACAAAACCAATGCTCTGCTTCACCACAGACTACCCAGATATTACAGCAATCAGGCAGCATGGAAAGAACAACAGCAACAAAATTAGAATAATTTCTTTTTCCTGTTGCCCTTCGTGCTATATACAACTGAGCAAATAAAGTTTATTTGACATTTCCAACAAGGCTGTGGGTCACAATTCTTAGAGGAGGTTTTCTGCATTCCCCCAATAACTACAGATACCTGTGATCATGTTCTGGATTTAGTGATTAAATACTAATTTACAGGCAGACCGTTTTGGAAATAAAAGCAAGCAAATTATCTTTGCTCGCTCCAATAGCACAAGACACTACATGACATCTGCTGGAGAGTGCTGGAAGTGATTAATATTGTTTGTTTTGTGGAGGGGACAGCTTCCAGACTTCAGCAGGCTTTATAACCACTTGCCTTTTCCAGCAATTCCAGCCCACCTTGCTCCAACAACTGTTCTGCAACTGCTTCTGGGTAAGAACCTCACACAGAGAAAATGCATTATTCACACTGATTAATTTATTATAGGCATACATGCATGAAATAGCTGACCTTACTATTTCTCTCACAAAGGTCCCAGAGCAAAAAGAGCACACACAGTTGGACTGTCAAGCAATATTTCACAGAGATGGAAAAAGCACAAACCCCCCCCCACATCACAAAACCAACCAAAACCAGATTGCAGGGCCGAGAGAACACCCTCAAGGAGGTCAAAGTTCAGTCAGACAGAGCTCACCCTGGAATAGTTACACTGTCATAAATTAATTTAATGCTATATTTCTGAAAAATACATACAATTAATAATTTTAATGTATTCATTTTGAAGTTTTTTATTTCTGTACCTTTCACTTACATTGGCACCAAAAGAAATGAGTTCACACAAAATAGGAAAGCAGAAAAAATAGTTCTGTTGACAAAAACATTCACTTCTTCCAGAGATAAAAGTACAAACATATTAGAAATGCAAATGCATTCACATCTAAAAAACTAAGACTGTTGAAAATAAAAATGTCAAAGCTGGTGATGCCCAAAAAATTCATTTCTTACTTTGCTTTGAGTGATGATAATGAGTCAAAAAATAGGAATATGAACCGGACCTTTCTGTGATACTCGAAGTCTACTAAATGTAGATTGACCTGTAAAAGTGGAAACCTGGAAAAATGGGGACTAGCAAGAAGACATCCAAGGAAGGATTTTCACATTGGCATGAATTATCATTACTAAATAGAACACTGCTGCTGGTATGTACATGATCTCTCTTTATATCATATGGTCAAATCATTCATTACCATTCAAATAAAGCAGCATTTGGACCTATAGGCACCAACAAAACATAATCACTCAGTTTGCAAGTCCACACTAGTCAGCTAGTCAGATTTCATCTTCTAGCATGTGCATTGTCCCATTTTCAACCCTTCCACAAAAGAAAAACTAAATATATATATATATTTATATATGCTGACAATTTTTAGCTGGCACTCCCCTGCATTGCTTCAATAGATGGAGCCATCCTGGCAAACACTGTATGGCCATAATATCTGGATGCTATCTACTCTAGATTTAAAAGCTATGATAGATCCATAAATATGGATTTTCTTGAGCAAAGTCAAAGATGTTCCTGCTCAGGAAGTTCTCTGCAGCTGAGAAGAAAAGCAGAATTTTATCTTTGTTGCCCTTATGTACCTTCTGCCTCTGCTGGCATAGGACATAGGAACCAATACACAGGTACAGAAGGTGAGGAATGTTACAGAAATTGTTTTATCACTTTCAAATTAAACATACAGACAACATAAATAGTAGAGAAATTATGCTATTTCAGCACTACAACAGTGATTTTAAATAGGAAAATGTGTGCAAACACAGTTATAAAATATAGTTCATAGAATATATGAAAAATGATGATTATATTTTAATAGTAAAAATATTTTCTTGAGCAAGGAAATCAACAAAATTATTTCTTAAGAATTTTTATTAACCTCCTCAGTGACCCATTGCCTTTCAACAACTCCTGTGATTACCTCTGATTTTTCTCTTCCATCAGCAAACACACAAAGTATTCCCAACTTCCTCCAATATTGCTGAAACAACATCTGGGCAATAGACAGTAACTGGGTTACTATAAATTTCATGAGAAATTCATGTATAATGAGCTCATGCTGCAATCCTTCCCTTAGTAGAATAATATTTTTTGTCCTTTTCATGTAATATTCAATATTTTATGAAGATTTTAGGAACCCAGTAATTCTCAGGCCCCTTCTCTGATTTCAAAACTGATGGAGCTGGCCACAGGTTTCAAATCATTGCAGAAGGAAAGATTAGCAAATGAACAGAGAACAAAAGTGTTGTACCCTCAGAAACCAGACTAAACCACAAAGAAATCTTTTTTCCCATTAAGCATACAGTAAAATCATACATTATCTCACAGATTTCCTGACTATAAACATATCCATATACTATGAACTGTAGAAAATTTTCTCATGGATACATGAATTTTATTAGTGTATCTGCAATTACAGTAATTGTCCCTACTGTAATACATAATGTATCAGTCCTTGGACAGAAAAATATTTGTCACAATATTGGAAAAAAATTACCTTGTATTTTATCATCTTCTTGGTATAATTGTGCACCCATAAGATTTTATGAGAGACCTTTCCCACTTCACACTCTATGAAAATGCAATCCTGAGGCAAAGGCTTCTTCCCTATTCCCTTAAGACTAAAGATGTTATGAGTTCCAGCTGTAACATTTCTCAGAATAAGCCTTCCCTATGACAAAGAAAGGAGAAAAAAAAAAAAAAAGAAGTTTAATTACTGTTCAAGTCCCCTTTAGCTGCCAAAGCAACTCCTTTAGTTCATAATCTCAAATCTAGGTGACTCAGAGTGCTTACAAGAAACAGCTCCTATTGACTTTCCTAGTTCTTAAATAAACCCATTGCTAAACAGAGTAGTAAACCAGAGACACAAAATCTTTTATTTTAAATTTTTCTAAACTGGGAAATTTAACATTATAAACTTTTCATATTTCTAGATTTTCTACTTCTTGGCTTCTTGAAAAAAAAACATCTTCAAGAACATATGATCTCATGCCTCCTTGTCTCTCCTATAATATTTAACTTTGCTCATTGAGTGTTTCCACCCGTCCTTCCATGAGCACAGTGTTGATCCTGGAGAGAGGGAGACTAAAGGGAAGTGCATTGCCCTCTGCAAATACCTGAAGGGAGGTTGTAGTGAGGTGAGGATGGGTCTCTTCTCTACTGAAAGACCGAAAGGAAATGTCCTTAAGTTGTGCCAGAGGAGGTTCAGATTAGACATCAGAAAGAGGTTTTGACTGGAAGAGTGTTTAGGCATTGGAATAAGTTCCCAAAGAAAGTGGTGGAGTCACCATCTCAAGAGGCATCTGGATGTTGTGCTTGGGACATGGTTTAGGGGTAGCTATGGTGGTGCTGGGTTGACAGATGGACCAGATAATCTTGGAAGTCTCTTCCGATCTGGAGGATTTTGTGATTCAGCTGAAATGTTCTCCATAATCATTTTCATCAAAGAATTCGGGGCTTTTGGCTTTTAATAATTTTATAATATTGGATGCCTAAACTGCATTATATTTGGTTCGTAACACATGCAGAAGGGTTGCTTATGCTTCAGAGAAAATTTTTTTTCATCTTTGGCAGTTCACATATTTCAACAGCACCTTGCAGTCAAAATCTCTCAGGTGGGACACAGACAAAACCACAAATACAATTTCTTGCTAAAGGTGTTGTAGCCTTTTCTCTGCTCTTCATTTTAGCATTTGGAATAGTGATTGATGGCAAGAGCAGCTGTAAAATGGTGGCTTAACTTGAAACTAAAGTACTCATCACATAAATTCATTTGTGATGTAGGCATGCAATCCGAAATACTACCTAATTATTTAGGTAATGAAATACGATTAAATATAAGTATTTAAATTCAGAATAACAGTGTATATTTTTGTGATAAAAATTCAGAATTTTCACAGAATAACTGTAGGATTGAAGGATTTTGTAGAAATGAATAGAACTGAAGAATATAATAGAAAATTAAATAAAGAAGACATGAGAATATGTGGTGGGGAAATCATACCTAATCTTAAGGTTTATGAAGTTAGTTCATTTGTGTTTTTACTTCAGATAGTAGTAAATCTTACCCTTTCTTTCTCTCAAGCAGATGCTATAATATTAGCAACTGTCTAAACACTTTCACAGTTTGGATACTGGTGATAATTTTATTGGTGAAAACATCCTTTTCAAAGATTGAAACTAATTTCTCTCTTACCATTATTACAGACTCAGCAACTGGCATGAACGTGAGAGGATACTGAACTGTTTCACCTACAGGCACATTTATTACGGGAGGGCCATGAAAACACTGTCCTTCCAAAAGTGCTTCAAACCTCCAGTCCTCACTAGATATGTTAGTCTGAAAGAAAATCAAAGATGTAAATTAGATTATGCATTTAAATTTTTTAGTGTGCACTTCAGCTTTCACTTCCAGCTATTATCACATCAGAGCACAGTACTCATTTGCTCCAATACTGTCTCAGAGTGCCTTTGGGAAGAATAAAAGCAGTGTATTTTAAAAATGAAATAAGCTAATAATAAATCTGTTATTCCTGGCAGCCAGAGGTACAGAACCCCTACTTTCAGTAGCTATACTGTCAGCAGGAATACTCTTTAGAAGAACATGAGCACGATCTAGCTAATGGGAAAGATGGAATTTGTAAGTATCATTATAAGCATTTACAAGTATCTTTATGGTGCTGTTTAATGCTTGCCAAAATTCTGTTCCTATTCCACCTGCAGAAAATCTTGGTGTGCCCCTTTGAAGGGCTGATGTGGTGTGCTGGCATATATTGCCTCGTTTGGCCACTGAAAATGTTACAAGATCAGTCTTATGAATTGAGAACTCCATCTCCAAAGGAAAATTTACAGTCCTGTGTTCTCAGAACCTGGTCTTTCAAAAGACTAAACTACTTTAAATAATGCCTGAGCATTGCTGAGCAATATGAGCCTGAACCTCTTTAAGAAACATGTTTATCTTGCATCCAGATGTATCACAAGAGTGCTTATGCTAAAGTGAGATATTTCATAATACATGTTTAGAGGCTGCCTAAAAATAGTAAAACTGAAATAATTCTATCCAGCCTCCCACTATTTAAAAGAACCAGATGACCAAACATCCAGTCAAAAAAAAAAAACAAAAAAAAAAAAAAAAAAAAACAAAAAAAAAACTCACTCATCTGAAAAATAAAATAAACTGTCACTCATGAGCTAATTCATGTCTCGTCAAATAGAGATTAATCTCATCTGATCTATGAAAAGAGGAGGTAATCTTTTGACCTATAATGGTCTTCATCCATGGAAAATTGTGTACAAACATCAGAGATAAAGAATGGATTTCAGAGAACAGAGATGATACTTCAGTCTTTGTTTCTATCTATGAAAGTCTCAGAAACAAAGATCCTGTGGTCATCAAAGCTAACCCAGAGCTACCCACATGTGCAGTACCATGTATCTAAGGTTTGGTTAATATGTATGATTAATGCTTCAGGGTTAGTTGTGAAACTTCCCGGTAGTTGTGCACATATGCCTGTGTGGAATGTTGAGGTTTGTGTAGTGCCTTAGTTTTACAAAAAACTCCCATCACCATGTCTCCAGTTCTCTAGTAACAATGACATCATCTCTGGTAGAGAACACCAAATAAAAGTATGATGTCCCCACGCCAAGGATAAAATGAAAGGGAAAAAAAGACAACGAAAAATTATTTTCATTATAATGGTTTTTTATCTCCACAATATCAGGAAAAGCTTTATCCTTTTGAAAACCAGCTGGCCTGGTGTAAAATTGGCAGGTCATCACTTTCTGCTAATCTAACATTTTATAACTTGGGATAGAAGAAAAACATCATCAAGATTGGTCTAGGTTCTAGAGGAGGACTGTGAAAATTTGGGTGCTTAAGTTGTTTTATTTTCAGTGATTTCTAGTACAACTGTCATCAGATATTTCTTTTATCCAGATTAGTGGTGATTACATCAATATGTAGCACAAATATTTATTCTTAATCTCTAGCACAAAAATTTGTCATCTGGAGAAATGTAGTTGACAAACATGGTCATTGTAAATTCTTTTGTAATAAGTCCTTCTAATACAGAACGAGTTTGTCTAAAAGTCTCTTCTAAAGAAAGATATTAAGCACAACCATAAACATAGAAAATTAAAAGAAAATATTTGTTAAATTCTTCTCCCTTATACTTGTTCATTAATGGCTTTAGCTAATTAATCATCTAACTCTTACAGGATCTCTGCTTAATGCAAAATCTCATCCAAAGCCTGTCAAGTGAATTAATTTAAACACAATTAATGCTAAGAGAGTCGGAATCTCCTCACAGGACTGTAAGTGGTTCAACCCAAGGTACAAATTATTGTATTGAACCTATACCTGGAGAGTCTGAGAGGCAGAGATGGAACAGTTACATTAATCTCATGCTTGAGAAAATTACAGAAAGTCCAATAGAAACTAATCACAGATCTCACATTCATCTGGGTTCTTATTCTGTTTCTGTCACTAATTCACTGCATGGCTTTAAGTAAACCAGCTGACCATTTAATTGGCCCATTTATAGTGTTCCACCTGGCACATGTCATGAGTGTTAGTTTGAATGTGTCTGTAAGAAGTGCTTTGAGCACTAAATATTTGGATCAAGAAACTAATTTTAGCAGATTGGATAACTCCATCTTCAGTTCCACAATGAGCATATCTTTTTCCACAGAGTATTTAAGAAAACTTAAATGGCAAATACTATACTGCTAATATTAAAAAATGAGAAAATTGTAGATGGAGAAGCTCCAACTAGAATGAGTGTGCATAGAAATGTAAAGTATCTAAATCCTAAAAAGGGAACACTGTGAAGTGAAAAATAAATCCATCAGAAGAATAAAGCAAATCTGTTTATAAAGTGTCTGTTTAAACAAGGTAGAAAATCCCCTTACCTTCTGTGTTATGTATCAGTTGTTTTAGGCTAATGTAACATTAAAAAAAAAATCAATGTTTAATACATAAATTAGTAATATCTTAAAACTTGTGTTCAAGGAGAGATCTCAGGAAGTATTTTACTGGTTCTATCTTGTAAAGAATCTTTATTCCTTCTCTCACAGCTTAAGTTTCTTCCCTATAATTTTTTTCTTTTGTTTGTTTGTTTGCTTGGTGGAGGGTTTTTTTTGTTTTGTTTTATTTAAGTTCTCTAAAATTTGACCAATAATTTTCTGAGATGATATTGCACCCAGCTTCTCTCTCTGGTCTTACTTCTCATGTACCAAAGGTTTCATACACAAAGTAGATATGATAAAACTATACACTACATACTGGCTATGATTACCACATTTTTTACCTGCGTGTAATCTAGTTCTTCTATTTTATTCCTCAGCATCTCTCTTTTTTTTTCCTTCAGAAACAGTGTATTTATTCCCTAGATTACATAACTATTTTTTTTCACTTTCATGGTGATAACATTATTAAAGAACAGACTAAAAATTTTCAGATTAAAAATAAAATTAAGCCCATCAAATTAATAATTTAGTAAGTAATTTTTCCGAACAGGTTTTTATATTATCTACAATATGGACTCTGAGAAATAATACTCAAGTCAGTATTTACATTCATTTCTGCATTTCAGGACTGTAAATTTTAGCAGTATTGATCCAAAATCTGTTTTTTTTAAAATCCTGAATCTTAGTTTAGTTAGAATTACAGGAGTGAACTTACAATTGGAATTTCCTGAGTCACTTCCTGGTAAGCTGGAGTTAGAAATTCAACCTGTGCATCAGCCTGGTCTGCATTCACCACACATTCAATCTCATAGACACGAATATCAGAGGACGACTTCAGAAGAATCTGACAGTGGTAGCAACCAGCAGACTTAGGAGTGAATTTTATAGGAAACTCAACTGTATCACTTCCACCTAAAAAAACACAAAACAAACAAAAAAAAAACAAAAAAAACCAAAAAAACAAAACAAAACAAGAAAAACAAAAAAATTAAACAAAAGAAGTGATGTTGCAAAGTTTTCAGGAACATTGAATTCACAAGCAGAATCTGAAGAGGTTTCCAATAAATTGTAAGAGAATCTCCCCAGCAGTACATGCAAAAATTTCGAAGAAACAACAGTTGTAGGAGTGTTACCATGCAAGTTAACTTCCTAAAAATGGTATATTGAAGCATGTAAACAGTATTTTCTATTGATTTTAGTAGTGCACAGAGAGATATATTTTAAAATATCTTTTAAATCTAGTAGAAAAATTTAACATACATGAATTTCTTTAAATATTTTTAAACCTATACAAACCACTAACTTTTGTCAACAGCTACTGTCAGAGATATTAGTGATAGTACAGTATATTTGGCTGAGTATCCCTAACAATTACTGAAATTCTGTTAAATACAGTAGGTCTCATGACAACTCGTTAGACTTTTTTCTATACCAAATTTTGGATTGAAAGTCTGAGTTTCCAAAATTGTTAGACTGAAATAGATTCATGCAAAGACCTATTTTCCCAATCTGCAGCACACAGGGAAAACTCCCCATTGTGATCCCTAGAGCAGGGAAGAAGCAAAACAAATGCAGTCCATCTTTGCACAGAGCCAGGTCTAACAAGTCTGCTGCAAAGATTTCCTTCTCTATGCTTGCTTTCAGAAAAGATCAGACTCTTCCACAGGATTTTAAGCCCCTCAGTAGCCCTTGTAGGACACTTTCCAAAGGAGAAATGAAGGGGCATGAGGAACTCCAGTGATGGTCATAAAGAGTTCCCCAGTCCCAAGAGTCTCTTAAGAAACCTGAGAAAACACATGAAGATTGCAGTTGTAAAAACTGTAGTTTTACATGTAACAAAAGCTGATTCACTTCACTGTTTCCCAAGGTTAGAAACCAATGCCCAAAGCTGGAAAAACATGATAAGGAAAGTCAGAGACAATATAATGACAACAGAACTTTAAAGATAAAACTCCAAACAATGCAATTCTTTCTGTGGGGGAACACCAGACAAAGCCTTGTGGAATTTTCCCTTTTCTCCTTCATTTGGCTTATTTTCTGATGGTTTGTATGACAACGGGATTCAAACTACTTTGATATCGTCAATGACAACAACTGAATTTTGAAAGTGCAATCAGTTTTCATGTGCAATGCTTCTCATTCTCTTCCACCCAGTGGTGCTCCTCATGTATTCAGGTGTCACCTCTCTGAAAATGAACACCCAACTGAAGTTTTCCTGTGGCCTTACGTCATCACTGCGTCAAATATCACGACGTTTTTTCCACAATAAAAGCTCAAGTTCAAGAGAAAAATAGTACAGAGTGGCATTATTCATCTTTCAACACTGCTAGACTATCAGAAAGATTATAAATTGCACCTCAGTTTTAATCCTCTTTGAAATAATCAGTTTGTCCTCTTTTAGAGACAAGATTAATGGCCTGGTAGTTTTTAAATTATTATCAATATTATCTATTTTAGCATTAAATTATTATCACCATGGGCTGTCTTCCACAGAAGTAACCTGAGTTTGTCAGTTATGCAAGGAATGAAACTCTTTTCATTCTTCCGTTCTTTAGTATAGTCCCTGTCCACAAGAATTATTTTAAGATGTTGCAATAAAGTATTTTCTTTAAACTTAAAGTACACATTTTAAATACTTGCATTTAAAATAAATGTTTAAATTTGTACTTGAAGAAAGATAATACAGTGTACTGAAAGATACAATATATTTCTGAATTAGTTTTACTTCTTTGCACTAAATGGAAATATTAATTACTAATAACTAAGGTTATTTTTCCCTGAGTTGGACCCAGATTTGAAATGCACACTTTCAAATAGAAATGCTTCCTATAGAAAAATTTAAAAATAAAAGCCATGAAAAGTAAATTCCATAATGGTAATATTTAGTACAGCACTACTTTAGTGAAAAATAATTGTTTTTTATGAATTTAGAAAATACATTTTAGAATAATTCAGTTGAATAATTTAAATATTATGCTCAATTACAATGAATCAAAAGGAAAGCAAGTAAATTTGTTACATTTATTCAACGCAATAAGTATCTTCTGCAGTAATACATGGGTCCTCCAAATCAAAATAACTACAAAAATAATTTGTCTTCAAATTATAGGTGAAGATTGACTTTTTCACCAGCAAAATGTTTTTTAAATACCATAAAGTAAACTGTGTTTAAAAATGTCTCAGCTTAGCATGTTTTGTTCTCTCAGTCTCATAAGACATTCAACAAAGATTAATTTAGGGATATATTCAAAGATTTATTGAACATAATCCATGGGGCCACAACTGGCTTACCTAACAATTTCTGAGACAAAAATGTCAAGAGTAAGCCATGGCATCATTTACTTAATTCCCATGCAGCAGGAAGCAGAGTCTGCATCCATCAAAAACAATGAGGCTGCAAGCATTTTTTCAACAGTGAAAAGTCAGGCAGAGCAATACAGGGGTTTGCTACAGTTTCCATCCCTACAAAAGATTTTTATTGTTTGACAGGAAACTATTACATAGGAAACAATCTGACGGTTTTATTTTCTAGATTTATGTCTGACAAATGCCTACAGGAAACATTCACTTGATCATATTGGGTTTTGTTGTGAGACAGTTGCCAGAACAGGGGCATTTGCAAAAACTAAACTTTTAGTGTGCAATTTTACCACGTGTTGTTGGAAAACTAAATTACAGCACATAGGCACTGGTCATATCCTCTGGCAACTGCCTGGCATTTTGTGTCATTTATCTATTGCAAAACACAATCTGATCACCAGAACTAACAAAGTTCATGTCCTCTGGTTCTTAAAAATCTTATAACTCATCATTTTAGATCTGCCTGAATTCAAAGTCCTCTAAGTGCATTAGCCTGCAAACAGTACCTTTCAAAGACAAGTAATGACAGATGTTTTGACAGTAAAACATAAGAAAAACTATATTCTGTAAGGTAGTAATAATGGCCCTTAGGAATCACTGTTTAGCCTTATTGCAAACTGTGGGAGGATGAAATGAGTAAAAATAGAAATGCTACCCTTCCACACCACAATTTGTTCTCATAATTTGTGAAGGTAGAGAAGTCTGGGCCTTCAGCTGTTCATCAAATAATTGCACATTATATCAGCTTTTGTTCAACAATAGTGATTCTATCTATTCAGAATTTCAAAGCAAAATTTCTCACTGAACTTATCTCAGTCTCTGACACTATGCATGTGTCACAGACAACTGGTTAAATTAACCTCAAGACTGAATTTGCAGGTACGGACTCCTAGAAAGCTAAATAAGCAATCATAATTAAGGATCCAGACTTTTCTGACTTCTGTTTATATATTAGGTCTTCAAATAAGCTCATCTGAATTAGAACATCACTTTACTCAGTAGTCTTGAAAAAGCCACTACTCTTTTATATCCTCTACTGAGTGCTGAAAAGTTTTGAAATTTTCTGCTACCATTGCGTGTTTATTTACGATTTCCTCTCACTTTATCTTAATCAAACAGATTTGTAGAAGAGTTTCTAAAAAACCTACTAACTAGTTATTTGTTCCTTTTTCCATTTAAATACAGTATACAATTATACATCTAAGCAAAAAATTAAATACACTTAATCAGAAAAGAAAGATCTACTGGGGGAAAAAAGAATGAAAGCAGGTTTTTCCTTAACTGATATAAAAATGAAAACGGGAGACACTTTGTTTCAATGCCTTGCTATGAGTACCCAGCAGCTGTGTTTGTGTATCACTCAGAAGCCAGTGAGGAGCTCTGGGGTACTACAATAAAGAAGTTGTAGGGCGCTGGTTGTTTAATAATCATTGCCCCTAATATTTATGAAAAATACTCACAGGCTCTTTAGAAACAAGTAGTCACTGCACCAGTGGGCAATGCTGCCAGGTTTACTCAATACAGCTTTAAGAACCATGACTGGAAGGTGTTTTCTTCAACTGTTTGATGAATAGCCCCTGCTGAAAGGGATTGGCCAAATTATAAGGAATTACACTAATAGAGTAATAATTCCAATATTCTTGATCTAAAAAATCAACAAAGTTAGAGCGAAGCTCTCTCTAAANAAAAAAAAAACTCACTCATCTGAAAAATAAAATAAACTGTCACTCATGAGCTAATTCATGTCTCGTCAAATAGAGATTAATCTCATCTGATCTATGAAAAGAGGAGGTAATCTTTTGACCTATAATGGTCTTCATCCATGGAAAATTGTGTACAAACATCAGAGATAAAGAATGGATTTCAGAGAACAGAGATGATACTTCAGTCTTTGTTTCTATCTATGAAAGTCTCAGAAACAAAGATCCTGTGGTCATCAAAGCTAACCCAGAGCTACCCACATGTGCAGTACCATGTATCTAAGGTTTGGTTAATATGTATGATTAATGCTTCAGGGTTAGTTGTGAAACTTCCCGGTAGTTGTGCACATATGCCTGTGTGGAATGTTGAGGTTTGTGTAGTGCCTTAGTTTTACAAAAAACTCCCATCACCATGTCTCCAGTTCTCTAGTAACAATGACATCATCTCTGGTAGAGAACACCAAATAAAAGTATGATGTCCCCACGCCAAGGATAAAATGAAAGGGAAAAAAAGACAACGAAAAATTATTTTCATTATAATGGTTTTTTATCTCCACAATATCAGGAAAAGCTTTATCCTTTTGAAAACCAGCTGGCCTGGTGTAAAATTGGCAGGTCATCACTTTCTGCTAATCTAACATTTTATAACTTGGGATAGAAGAAAAACATCATCAAGATTGGTCTAGGTTCTAGAGGAGGACTGTGAAAATTTGGGTGCTTAAGTTGTTTTATTTTCAGTGATTTCTAGTACAACTGTCATCAGATATTTCTTTTATCCAGATTAGTGGTGATTACATCAATATGTAGCACAAATATTTATTCTTAATCTCTAGCACAAAAATTTGTCATCTGGAGAAATGTAGTTGACAAACATGGTCATTGTAAATTCTTTTGTAATAAGTCCTTCTAATACAGAACGAGTTTGTCTAAAAGTCTCTTCTAAAGAAAGATATTAAGCACAACCATAAACATAGAAAATTAAAAGAAAATATTTGTTAAATTCTTCTCCCTTATACTTGTTCATTAATGGCTTTAGCTAATTAATCATCTAACTCTTACAGGATCTCTGCTTAATGCAAAATCTCATCCAAAGCCTGTCAAGTGAATTAATTTAAACACAATTAATGCTAAGAGAGTCGGAATCTCCTCACAGGACTGTAAGTGGTTCAACCCAAGGTACAAATTATTGTATTGAACCTATACCTGGAGAGTCTGAGAGGCAGAGATGGAACAGTTACATTAATCTCATGCTTGAGAAAATTACAGAAAGTCCAATAGAAACTAATCACAGATCTCACATTCATCTGGGTTCTTATTCTGTTTCTGTCACTAATTCACTGCATGGCTTTAAGTAAACCAGCTGACCATTTAATTGGCCCATTTATAGTGTTCCACCTGGCACATGTCATGAGTGTTAGTTTGAATGTGTCTGTAAGAAGTGCTTTGAGCACTAAATATTTGGATCAAGAAACTAATTTTAGCAGATTGGATAACTCCATCTTCAGTTCCACAATGAGCATATCTTTTTCCACAGAGTATTTAAGAAAACTTAAATGGCAAATACTATACTGCTAATATTAAAAAATGAGAAAATTGTAGATGGAGAAGCTCCAACTAGAATGAGTGTGCATAGAAATGTAAAGTATCTAAATCCTAAAAAGGGAACACTGTGAAGTGAAAAATAAATCCATCAGAAGAATAAAGCAAATCTGTTTATAAAGTGTCTGTTTAAACAAGGTAGAAAATCCCCTTACCTTCTGTGTTATGTATCAGTTGTTTTAGGCTAATGTAACATTAAAAAAAAAATCAATGTTTAATACATAAATTAGTAATATCTTAAAACTTGTGTTCAAGGAGAGATCTCAGGAAGTATTTTACTGGTTCTATCTTGTAAAGAATCTTTATTCCTTCTCTCACAGCTTAAGTTTCTTCCCTATAATTTTTTTCTTTTGTTTGTTTGTTTGCTTGGTGGAGGGTTTTTTTTGTTTTGTTTTATTTAAGTTCTCTAAAATTTGACCAATAATTTTCTGAGATGATATTGCACCCAGCTTCTCTCTCTGGTCTTACTTCTCATGTACCAAAGGTTTCATACACAAAGTAGATATGATAAAACTATACACTACATACTGGCTATGATTACCACATTTTTTACCTGCGTGTAATCTAGTTCTTCTATTTTATTCCTCAGCATCTCTCTTTTTTTTTCCTTCAGAAACAGTGTATTTATTCCCTAGATTACATAACTATTTTTTTTCACTTTCATGGTGATAACATTATTAAAGAACAGACTAAAAATTTTCAGATTAAAAATAAAATTAAGCCCATCAAATTAATAATTTAGTAAGTAATTTTTCCGAACAGGTTTTTATATTATCTACAATATGGACTCTGAGAAATAATACTCAAGTCAGTATTTACATTCATTTCTGCATTTCAGGACTGTAAATTTTAGCAGTATTGATCCAAAATCTGTTTTTTTTAAAATCCTGAATCTTAGTTTAGTTAGAATTACAGGAGTGAACTTACAATTGGAATTTCCTGAGTCACTTCCTGGTAAGCTGGAGTTAGAAATTCAACCTGTGCATCAGCCTGGTCTGCATTCACCACACATTCAATCTCATAGACACGAATATCAGAGGACGACTTCAGAAGAATCTGACAGTGGTAGCAACCAGCAGACTTAGGAGTGAATTTTATAGGAAACTCAACTGTATCACTTCCACCTAAAAAAACACAAAACAAACAAAAAAAAAACAAAAAAAACCAAAAAAACAAAACAAAACAAGAAAAACAAAAAAATTAAACAAAAGAAGTGATGTTGCAAAGTTTTCAGGAACATTGAATTCACAAGCAGAATCTGAAGAGGTTTCCAATAAATTGTAAGAGAATCTCCCCAGCAGTACATGCAAAAATTTCGAAGAAACAACAGTTGTAGGAGTGTTACCATGCAAGTTAACTTCCTAAAAATGGTATATTGAAGCATGTAAACAGTATTTTCTATTGATTTTAGTAGTGCACAGAGAGATATATTTTAAAATATCTTTTAAATCTAGTAGAAAAATTTAACATACATGAATTTCTTTAAATATTTTTAAACCTATACAAACCACTAACTTTTGTCAACAGCTACTGTCAGAGATATTAGTGATAGTACAGTATATTTGGCTGAGTATCCCTAACAATTACTGAAATTCTGTTAAATACAGTAGGTCTCATGACAACTCGTTAGACTTTTTTCTATACCAAATTTTGGATTGAAAGTCTGAGTTTCCAAAATTGTCAGGCTGAAATAGATTCACGCAAAGACCTATTTTCCCAATCTGCAGCACACAGGGAAAACTCCCCATTGTGATCCCTAGAGCAGGGAAGAAGCAAAACAAATGCAGTCCATCTTTGCACAGAGCCAGGTCTAACAAGTCTGCTGCAAAGATTTCCTTCTCTATGCTTGCTTTCAGAAAAGATCAGACTCTTCCACAGGATTTTAAGCCCCTCAGTAGCCCTTGTAGGACACTTTCCAAAGGAGAAATGAAGGGGCATGAGGAACTCCAGTGATGATCATAAAGAGTTCCCCAGTCCCAAGAGTCTCTTAAGAAACCTGAGAAAACACATGAAGATTGCAGTTGTAAAAACTGTAGTTTTACATGTAACAAAAGCTGATTCACTTCACTGTTTCCCAAGGTTAGAAACCAATGCCCAAAGCTGGAAAAACATGATAAGGAAAGTCAGAGACAATATAATGACAACAGAACTTTAAAGATAAAACTCCAAACAATGCAATTCTTTCTGTGGGGGAACACCAGACAAAGCCTTGTGGAATTTTCCCTTTTCTCCTTCATTTGGCTTATTTTCTGATGGTTTGTATGACAACGGGATTCAAACTACTTTGATATCGTCAATGACAACAACTGAATTTTGAAAGTGCAATCAGTTTTCATGTGCAATGCTTCTCATTCTCTTCCACCCAGTGGTGCTCCTCATGTATTCAGGTGTCACCTCTCTGAAAATGAACACCCAACTGAAGTTTTCCTGTGGCCTTACGTCATCACTGCGTCAAATATCATGACGTTTTTTCCACAATAAAAGCTCAAGTTCAAGAGAAAAATAGTACAGAGTGGCATTATTCATCTTTCAACACTGCTAGACTATCAGAAAGATTATAAATTGCACCTCAGTTTTAATCCTCTTTGAAATAATCAGTTTGTCCTCTTTTAGAGACAAGATTAATGGCCTGGTAGTTTTTAAATTATTATCAATATTATCTATTTTAGCATTAAATTATTATCACCATGGGCTGTCTTCCACAGAAGTAACCTGAGTTTGTCAGTTATGCAAGGAATGAAACTCTTTTCATTCTTCCGTTCTTTAGTATAGTCCCTGTCCACAAGAATTATTTTAAGATGTTGCAATAAAGTATTTTCTTTAAACTTAAAGTACACATTTTAAATACTTGCATTTAAAATAAATGTTTAAATTTGTACTTGAAGAAAGATAATACAGTGTACTGAAAGATACAATATATTTCTGAATTAGTTTTACTTCTTTGCACTAAATGGAAATATTAATTACTAATAACTAAGGTTATTTTTCCCTGAGTTGGACCCAGATTTGAAATGCACACTTTCAAATAGAAATGCTTCCTATAGAAAAATTTAAAAATAAAAGCCATGAAAAGTAAATTCCATAATGGTAATATTTAGTACAGCACTACTTTAGTGAAAAATAATTGTTTTTTATGAATTTAGAAAATACATTTTAGAATAATTCAGTTGAATAATTTAAATATTATGCTCAATTACAATGAATCAAAAGGAAAGCAAGTAAATTTGTTACATTTATTCAACGCAATAAGTATCTTCTGCAGTAATACATGGGTCCTCCAAATCAAAATAACTACAAAAATAATTTGTCTTCAAATTATAGGTGAAGATTGACTTTTTCACCAGCAAAATGTTTTTTAAATACCATAAAGTAAACTGTGTTTAAAAATGTCTCAGCTTAGCATGTTTTGTTCTCTCAGTCTCATAAGACATTCAACAAAGATTAATTTAGGGATATATTCAAAGATTTATTGAACATAATCCATGGGGCCACAACTGGCTTACCTAACAATTTCTGAGACAAAAATGTCAAGAGTAAGCCATGGCATCATTTACTTAATTCCCATGCAGCAGGAAGCAGAGTCTGCATCCATCAAAAACAATGAGGCTGCAAGCATTTTTTCAACAGTGAAAAGTCAGGCAGAGCAATACAGGGGTTTGCTACAGTTTCCATCCCTACAAAAGATTTTTATTGTTTGACAGGAAACTATTACATAGGAAACAATCTGACGGTTTTATTTTCTAGATTTATGTCTGACAAATGCCTACAGGAAACATTCACTTGATCATATTGGGTTTTGTTGTGAGACAGTTGCCAGAACAGGGGCATTTGCAAAAACTAAACTTTTAGTGTGCAATTTTACCACGTGTTGTTGGAAAACTAAATTACAGCACATAGGCACTGGTCATATCCTCTGGCAACTGCCTGGCATTTTGTGTCATTTATCTATTGCAAAACACAATCTGATCACCAGAACTAACAAAGTTCATGTCCTCTGGTTCTTAAAAATCTTATAACTCATCATTTTAGATCTGCCTGAATTCAAAGTCCTCTAAGTGCATTAGCCTGCAAACAGTACCTTTCAAAGACAAGTAATGACAGATGTTTTGACAGTAAAACATAAGAAAAACTATATTCTGTAAGGTAGTAATAATGGCCCTTAGGAATCACTGTTTAGCCTTATTGCAAACTGTGGGAGGATGAAATGAGTAAAAATAGAAATGCTACCCTTCCACACCACAATTTGTTCTCATAATTTGTGAAGGTAGAGAAGTCTGGGCCTTCAGCTGTTCATCAAATAATTGCACATTATATCAGCTTTTGTTCAACAATAGTGATTCTATCTATTCAGAATTTCAAAGCAAAATTTCTCACTGAACTTATCTCAGTCTCTGACACTATGCATGTGTCACAGACAACTGGTTAAATTAACCTCAAGACTGAATTTGCAGGTACGGACTCCTAGAAAGCTAAATAAGCAATCATAATTAAGGATCCAGACTTTTCTGACTTCTGTTTATATATTAGGTCTTCAAATAAGCTCATCTGAATTAGAACATCACTTTACTCAGTAGTCTTGAAAAAGCCACTACTCTTTTATATCCTCTACTGAGTGCTGAAAAGTTTTGAAATTTTCTGCTACCATTGCGTGTTTATTTACGATTTCCTCTCACTTTATCTTAATCAAACAGATTTGTAGAAGAGTTTCTAAAAAACCTACTAACTAGTTATTTGTTCCTTTTTCCATTTAAATACAGTATACAATTATACATCTAAGCAAAAAATTAAATACACTTAATCAGAAAAGAAAGATCTACTGGGGGAAAAAAGAATGAAAGCAGGTTTTTCCTTAACTGATATAAAAATGAAAACGGGAGACACTTTGTTTCAATGCCTTGCTATGAGTACCCAGCAGCTGTGTTTGTGTATCACTCAGAAGCCAGTGAGGAGCTCTGGGGTACTACAATAAAGAAGTTGTAGGGCGCTGGTTGTTTAATAATCATTGCCCCTAATATTTATGAAAAATACTCACAGGCTCTTTAGAAACAAGTAGTCACTGCACCAGTGGGCAATGCTGCCAGGTTTACTCAATACAGCTTTAAGAACCATGACTGGAAGGTGTTTTCTTCAACTGTTTGATGAATAGCCCCTGCTGAAAGGGATTGGCCAAATTATAAGGAATTACACTAATAGAGTAATAATTCCAATATTCTTGATCTAAAAAATCAACAAAGTTAGAGCGAAGCTCTCTCTACAAAAATTTACAAAAAAATTTCAAAACTGATTCTTTCTGACTAGAGGACTAAACAAAATTTCCTACAAACAAGGAAGGGAGCTCAGAACTATTACAAAGATTGCACTGAATGCTTAAGGAAATATTACATGGAGAGAGGATCAAAACCAAGTCTTCTATATCACTTATTGCAAAATAATAAGTTAATGCATAATAAATAATAAAGGCTTATAGTGAAAAATATCATAAGAGCTAGGTAGAGACTTCTGTGGTGTGGTTCCTTCCTTTTTGCAATCCAGATTTCTCTGAGGAAAGGTTTTTTCTTTTTAAAAAAAGAGAAAAAAGTCAGTAGTTGCTTTACCAGGAGCCACAAAGCACAATCTGAATAAATTAACTGTTGGAACAATTAATGAGAAAGTAGAAAATATCTAACAATTCCTGATAATTCTGTAGAGAAAGATTTTTCATCATTCATTGGGTAGAAAGGGGTTGAAAAACAAGCGAACTCATCTTGGATATTCTTTGTAAGTGTTACAGCAGGAACCAATATTGTCAAATCCCGTAGGAAGAGACAACCGAACTCTAATATTAGCTTTTGATATTGAATTTAAATTAGATAGCAAGGTGGAACAACATTTTTTCATTGAAAATGAACTGTGAGCTTTATTTATTTATGAACAATTTTGATCTGAAATAGTACAACCCAGCCATCAAAAAAAAACGGTTTTAGTTTTATATTCAAGCCTAGGTTCTTTATGTTTATTTTTACAAACATAGGAAAAACCCTAAACCATATGGAATGAGAAAAAGCATTCCCAGTGCATGCTTGCTTTAGAAAAGTTCAATAATGCACATGCTAATAAAATACAGAAAGTGCTTATCAGGGCACACTCGCTTAGGTGCATATCCATTTGAAAATTAAAATCTACCATTACCTTATAGAATTGTACAAATCTATCACTATTGATGGAATATATTTGTGTATTTATCATTTCATGTTGGGATTTGGTTATTAGTAAAAGGTATAAGGTATTGATATGTTTAGAAGAGCAATTGCTATCAATCATTTACTCCCATATATTTTCTTTCCTATAAAAGCCATCTAGTCCAAGGGTATTGATATCAGGTTTCCTGTTAATAGCACAAGTGGTAATCTAAAGTCATTTCAAGGCAGAAGATTGCAAACAAAACAAAACAAAACAAAACAAAACAAAACAAAAAAAGTCTGAAAAAAAGAAAACCAAATAAACAGGAAGCCCTTACAAAGCACTCAGATGCTGCAGTATTGATGAACTGTCACAGGCAGCTCTGTGAGGTGCTCTGTCTCAGGAACTTCTATGTTTCCATTACTCAAAGCAATTGTCAGTGTCATGTTACAATGTATGAAGGCATAGCCTATTCCAGAAAACTGCAGAATTTCCTAATTCTGGCATAAATCCTTATTTAATACCAAAACACATATTATTGGATGTTTCTCTTAGCAACATAATTTCACCAAATAAGTCTTACATTAAGCCCTAACCTGACAACTGGAGCAAAAGTGGATCTCTTAGGAAAGCTTCCACTTTCTTTAAAAAGACTGAGTGGTAGAAAGATTTTTGTT